TGAAGTATTTTCTCCCAGATTGTGGCTTGTCTTCCCACTCTCCTGACAGTGTCTTTCTACTGAGTAGCAATTTTTAACTTCAACGAGTCCAGCTTATCTGTTATCCAGTACCTTAAATAAGACATCAGTGACATATAGTGAAGTTGTGTCATAGTTATATTTTACTTATAAAAATTGAATTAAATATTTCATACACACATGCAATAAAGAAAAATATCCTCTAAATGGTGCAGGCTGTTTTTCCCAACATTCCACAATGATTCTCTCTCATCATTGATCTCTCTCTCTCTCTCTCTCTCTCTCTCTCTCTCTCTCTCTCTGTCCTCCCCCCATCTCTTCCTCTCTTCCTCTCTGAAATCAATAAAAAATATAAATAAATGAATAAACCAAAAAATCAACAAATGTTCCAGAATTACCTCAAAAAGCTAGAATGTAAAGTCACTTTTCTGTTACTTTGCCTCAGATCTCATATATGTCAGACCGTGTGAACTGATCACCATACTGAGTGCTTTTCTAGTATGTAGACATACCTATTTTTGACAATATGGCTCCTAAATACAACCCAACTAGTTTCCCTCATGTTCAACTGGAAGAAATCACAATGCAATCTAATAATTGAATATGCACCTTCAACTGCATAACTTGAACTTAATGAGAGGAAATGTCTAGGAATTTTCAAGGGTACTATTGACTATTTGTGATGATATATAGACAGTTTTGTGTTTTGTTTTGTTTTTAATATATTTTTATTGATTTCAGAGAGAGAAAGGGAGAGGGAGAGAGATAGAAACATCAATGATGAGCGAGAATCATTGATCAGCTGCCTTCCGCACCTCCCCCACTTTGGATCCATCCTGAAACCCAGGCATGTGCCCTTTACCAGAATCAAACCTGGGACCTTTCAGTCCTCAGGCCAATGCTCTATCCACTGAGCCAAACTGGGAAGGGAAGTTTTGTGGGTTTTTTTACTCTATGATTTTACTGTAGAAAACCAGCATAACTACCAATCTATAAACTGTTAGAGGATATACGCTGAAAATAATGTATAAGGTATGATAATAAAATAAACTCAATTTATTTTTTGGCAAACCTATTTGGACATTTATAACAAGTGTGAGCTAGTTTCTTAAAAGCTGGCACCTGTTCTCTTATTTCAAAATTCATATATATCCAGATATTTTCTAATTTTTTATTTCTCAATATCCTTTGAAGCTTGCTCAACTCGTTTAAATTCAATTAATCTTGGCATGTGGCCATTCTTAGCAAGTAGACTTGGTTTCTAGTAATAGTCGAAATTCATCTCATGTAAGTGTGAAACGCTTAAATTGGAAAAGTATTTTAAGACAAAATGTGTTGTGCCTCTAAATTAACAAGACGGCTTCACTCCCATGGCTCCTAATCTAGCTCTAAGAGCAAGTCACAGGGATGAACTTCAAAATGCTGATGGTAATTTCATTGAAATTATAAAATAAATATGATGACCACTTTGAAGAAAACACATATTTGGATATGATAGTTCTAATATATTTGCTTAATTTTTCTCTTTCTACTAGCCAAATCTGTCTTAATTTGTAAAAGTTTTAGCTTCTTACAAAAGAGGAAGTGTGAAAGAACTTCACACCTTCACCTGCATGCTCTTTCTAAGCTCTTGAAAATAGGGCAATTATCTTCTTCTTAGTACTATTCCATTAAAAAAAAAAAACACAAAAAACCCTTAGTTTAGTAATTACTTATTAACTTTCATTCTTTCTTTCTTTCCTTCCTTCCTTCCTTCCTTCCTTCCTTCCTTCCTTCCTTCCTTCCTTCCTTCCTTCCTTCCTTTCTTTTGGTAGCTTTTCAAAAGACATATCACAATGTTTCCTCAAGCATCAGCTTTGTGGAGAATGTCCATTGGGCATTCCTGGACTTGTCAATAAATCTTGGCATATAAAATCAGGATAGATTTATAGAGAATGAGACTGGGATAAGGTGAAGTGAGTGGGGTGCATACTGCAGGCACAATGTTTAAGGAGACGAAATCATTTAGTAATCAAGATAAATCATGTTGGAAAGCAAATTAAAGTTAATGCAAAAAGGCCATGATGTACAAAATATGAAACATTTAAATAAAAATGGATATTTGTTTCTTTGTTCCTTTGTAATTTGTCTGAAATTCCTGGACTGGATAGATGTTCTGTCTCCCTTGGGTGGGTTTATGAGGGTGGACAATGGTGTGAGAACAAATTAAATAATACAGGCTGTAGCATAGTGTCATATTTTTGTTTCTAGAACTTTCATTAACTTTATCCAATTGGTTTTAAACATGGGAGAATATTTTGATAAGTGCATATCAGGGAGAACATTCCCTCAGGCTCCATTTCTTTTTCACAGCTGCCTTTTACCTTTTGCTACCAAACACTGGCAGAAAGTCATGTTTTTAACTCCCCAAAGGTTATAATTGGTGGTATTCACCATCACCCTGTATTATATTACACTAGAGGCCTGGTGCACAAAAATTTGTGCACTCGGGGGGGGAGGGGGGGTCCCTCAGCCCGGCCTGTGCCCTCTCGCAGTCTGGGACCCCTCAGGAGATAATGACCTGCTGGCTTAGGCCTGCTCCAGGGTGGCAGAGGGCAGGCCCAATCCCTAGGTGCAGCCCCTGGTCGGGCTCAGAGCAGGGCTGATTGGGGAGTTGGGGCGCTGCCCCCTGTCACACTCAAGGCAGGGTCGATGGGGAGGTTGCGGCGCCACCCCCTGTCATGCACAGAGCAGGGCCAATCAGGGGGTTGGGGCGCTGCCCCCTGTCATGCACAGAGCAGGGCCCATCAGGGGGTTGGGGAGCTCCCCCCTGTCACTCACAGAGTAGGGCCGATAGGGGAGTTAGGGCACCGCCCCCTGTCACACACAGAGCAGGGCGGATCAGGGGTTTGGGGCGCCACCCCCTGTCACACACAGAGCAGGGCCGATCAGAGGGTTGGGGCGCCGCCACTGTCACACTCAGGGCAGGGCCGATGGGGAGGATATGGCTCTACCCTGTCACACACAGAGCAGGGCCTTTGGGGGGGTTGGGGCGCCTTCCCCTGTTACACACAGAGCAGGGCCTTTGGGGGGGGTTTGGGGCACCTTCCCCTGTCACACACAGAGCAGGGCCTGTGGGGGGGGGATTGGGGCACCTTCCCCTGTCACACACAGAGCAGGGCCGATCAGGGGGTTGGGACACCGCACCCTGCCACACACAAAGCCACAGGGCGATCAGGGGGTTTGGGCGCTGCCCCCTGTCACGCTGATCCAGTGCCAGGAAGCCTCTCAGCTCCGCTGATCCTGGTGCTGGGAGGCATATTACCCTTTTACTATATAGGATAGAGGCCTGGTGCACGGGTGGGGGCCGGCTGGTTTGCCCTGAAGGTGTTCTGGATCAGGGTGGGGGTCCCCACTGAGGTGCCTGGCCAGCCTGGATGAGGGGATGATGGCTGTTTGTAGCTGGTCACATACCCTTCAGGGTGGGGGTCCCCACTGGGGTGCCTGGCCAGTCTGGGTGAGGGGCTGAGGGCTGCTTTCAGGCTGGCGGTTGTTGACTGAAGCTCCCAACCGCTCCTTTTTTTCTTTTTTTTTTTTTTATTCTGGGCCAGCTTTAGCTCTGGCTCTAGCTCTGAGGCTTCTGTGTTCTATGATCGAAACAATGTATAACTCCAGCTCTGAGATCCTGGCTGGCTGAAAGCTGGTTTCTGGGGTTTTGTTTAGCTTCTATATTTGTTAGAATGTTTCAAACTGCCAGCTCAGAGGCCGGCAAGTCAGGCGGGGAACGTTGGAGTCTGCAGTCACTGGAGCAAGCAAGCCTCATGTTCGCTTCCAGCTGCCTGGCTGCCGGCTGCCATCTTGGCTGACAGTTAATTTGCATAAGGATATGCTGATTAGCCAATGGGAAGGGTAGCGGTCGTACGCTAATTACCATGTTTCTCTTTTATTAGTGTAGATAATGGAGAGTCAGACAGTATTGTTGGTAGAAATCAACTTGAATGTCGTTTAGACAAAACTGTTATCATTTTTTTAGATTGATATATTGTCTCGGAATAATGTGAAAGTACATAAACGACAGACATAATGAGAAAGCATAAATATCAAGAGATAAATATTATAGTGTGCCATTCTAAATAGAAAAGTTTGCCTGTTCTTTGGTATTTAAATAAGTTTGCTGTTTATTCAGCACATGAGCTGATTCCCATTATTTATAATTCAAGTATTTGTGTCGACTGTGAATCTTGTTTTGGCTGTTTAGTCTAAAATGGTTTTCCTTGTTATTTCTTGTATACTGTATGCAACCTAGATTAGCATAATCACTGTGATTAACATTAATTGAGGAGCAGAAATGAAAATGGTTTCTGAGAACAGTTTGGCTGATATGTACAGTGGTAAAATTTTGTATTACATGAACACTCAAATTATAATATTTGACTTTAGTTCTAAAACCTCTGAAGCATTAAGTGGGAGAATAAAATTTTGGACATAGTGCAAACTCGATAACTAACTCTGTAATGTGTTGCGGAAATGAAGGGAACCAGGTTTGCTAAAGTAATTGTGTTGATAGAAATATATTAGCTCCATAAGCTTCTGAGGTGGTCCATTCTACGCTAGTACAATGTAAAAAATTTTAAAAATAAAAACAAATGAATAAACTTTGAAGCATAGATGAATATACAAATATATGCTAGACAGATATGTCAATGTGATCTATAAGGGAATATACATACCTATATTAAGATATTTACTAGGAGGCACTATAATATGGTTGTTAAAAGTGTAGAATTTATAATCATGCTAAGACACGAGTCAACCCTTTCTTTGTCAGCTATGTAACTGTAAGTTTCTGACTGTCGCCAAAGCTCAGTTTTCTTCATTTGTGAAATGTGGATAATAATTTAACTTAGCTAGTAGGGTGGTTGAAAGTCTTAAATGAAATTCTATAGGCAAGATTTTTGGCATAAGGTTAGACAAATGATAAATGTTTTCTAAATATCATTTATGCTCTATCACTTCTCTGATTTTTTTCTCTGTTTTATTGCTTAATGTCACATTCTTGTTCACATCTCTGCATTTCATTTCATGTGGTTTACACTAATAGATTTCACTGTTTGTAATGTTACTGACTTTCATAAATTTACATTCCTTTTCATTTCTGTTGAGAGGTTCTGAAATTCTCTATAGATTTTCCTTTTTATGTATCTGTACATATTGTACCATTTCTAATCCAAAATTACTGCAATAAGAGCCAGGTTTTTCTTTGGAAGCATTATAGTATAGTGTGTGTTAAATGAAAACTGGCCTCCTATTGTATCTTTCAAGCCAATTTAAGTTAGATAAGGTTACCTCAAAAATTCTAAGGGTATCTGCATTTCAAAATATCAATTTTGGAAGGGTAGGCAATGTAGCTCAGTATTAACTGCTAAATACACACACACATATATATATAATTTTATATATATATATATAAATTTTATATATCAATTTTATATAAATTATGTCATTTAAATAAATAAAAACTATATAAATATATATTTCAAAAGCTTAAAAATCAAAATAGGTAAGTAAAAATATCTGATGGTTTTATTTTTTTGATAATCAGATATCCTCTGTGACAGAAATGAATACAGAGAAGGAAACTTATCAGACTACTTATCATATAGGAAGTTACAATAAACTTCAGTATTGTGACTATAGAAGAGATCATTCTTTCTCTGTTACCGATCACTAGTAAAATTAGCTAGTCTTACAAACATTCTTTAACCATTGTCTTTTAAGACTATATTATCAGGCACACATTTAATTGCAATGAAACATTAACAAAAAATAAGGTGCCATTAAAAATATTTCTTTCTTCTATACAACAATTAGTCTTAAGGAGAAAAGTTGATAGTGTTGGTTTAGCTATGTAGCGGTATCCAAGGAAACCAGGCTTTCCCCATCTTATTACTCTGTGATTCTTTAAATTTTAGCCTTTTAGTCTTAAGTTTGTTGCCTCATGGTTGCAATAAGGCTGTTGCAGCTCCAGTTACCAAGACTTCATTCTAAGGCAGGGGTGCAAGCCATGGCAGTAAGACAACTCCTCATGCAGCTTTCTTATTTGTGAAGTTATGTGTGAACAAAGATCATTAGCAAAATGCTCCTTTAATGAGAAATGAAAAAATAAAAAAAAAATGACCACTCCTTCACAAGTTTTAGGCTCCCTTTCTCTGAAATAAAAAGATATCTGCTTGAATATGCCAGAAGGCTTTGTAGAGTCAAGGCTCTGTTAGCATGGCCATGGTATGTGAGCAATTATTGTGCCTGCCATATAGGCCTACACAAACACACATACAGACACACATAAACTGTCATCTGTCTTCACACTAACTTTCTATATTTTTCCTATTTTTTTTCATTTGGCTCTAAAAAAATGTTATAAACTGTTAGAAAACATTAGAGTACTAATAAATCCCAGTTAATGCTTTTTTGATCAAAGGTATTTCTGAAACTAAGGTTCTATTGAAGATCAAGGTCTTAAGTATTCGGTTTTAAATACAGTTACCTCAAAAAAGAGGTAACTGTTATATCTCTTCATATCCCATAAATAAGTAAAGAAAATGAAGAGCAAAGAGAAAATGCACGGTAGGAAATGAGGTGGTGAATACTTAAAATGCATGTCAAACATGCTAATCTCTTCTTAAATGTTGGTCATGATGTTGGCTTTAAGCTTTTTAGGAACCAATAGGAAGAGGAAAATCAACCAAGTCAAAATATTCACAGTATCCCTAAGGCAGAAATGAAGTTCTGACCCACAATAAATGCAACAAAAAGTATATGTTATTCTTTTTATCATGATTCTGATAAAAAGAATAACATATAACCCAGTGAATCATAGTTTCACTAACATCTTTATAGCTAACATCACTGCATTTCTCAGGGGCAATTTCTTATTAGTTTGAGTGCTTTCAATGAGAACAATAACAAACCACCTAAATCTAATTCAGTAAACACGATTTTTGGTCAAGAGCCATAGACCTGGCATATCCTGAAATAGGAAGGATAAGAGAACAACATGTAATAAATCTACTTTTTCCTTTCTTCTTTGCAAATTCATCTCCATAAATGAAAGTAACAGACAAAGGAAATGTACAAGTAAATCTATCCTGCCCCATGGCTGACAACACATTTGGTCACTTTGGTTTAGTTTATTACTTCTAAACTTCTCCAAGTCTTAACAAGCTAATATTTTTTTCCTTAGGTTTGTGCTGGTGGGATTTCAGAAACTACTAAACAACACTGTAAAAATTTTGAGGTTGAAGAGATACCATAAAGATTCAAAGATTTTTCAGAACAAACTAGGGTTACCAGTCAACTTATTTTATTTTAAATATACTTTCTTACAAATATTTTCTAAAAATAAATCAGAGATTTTAGTCATGAAAACTTTGCTGAGCAACAGTGTGTTAAAAGATTACCTTTGACCCTGACCATTGACTTTTATATCTATAAGTAATTAAATATTTAGGGAGTTAATTCATTTCAACCATTAATTTTCATCTCAGGTTAAGTGGTTTGTCTGTTTGACTTCATTTCAAATTACCAAGACCTGAACTTAGACATCATTTGGCAAAAGATAAAAATCTCAAGGGTCCAGGAGCCCCAATTATTAATCTCTCCTGTGGAGGTGACCAATCAGGCTGCATAAAGAACATCTTTTTAATACAACTTTTGAACCTTCCATGACACATGCAAAGTCAAAAATAGATATAACTTATAAGATTCAGGAAATATGTTATTTTGTTTTTGAAATAACATTTTTATATAATAAATGTATCTAAACTTTATAATTGATCTCTAAGTTTTTTTTTTATTTATAAAGATAGTTCTTTTGGAAAATGTCATCATTTGTTCAATTTACAATAAAAATAACTCAACTTTTTGACTAAATCATTGTCAGAACATCTATTGCTTGTCTCCTAATTCACCTTGGAAACACTAAAACATCTTTGAACACTTAAGATAAAAACTACTATTTGGTTACCTAAGCAAATTAGAAAAGTGAATAAAGAAATGCATATTCATTGCAAAGGGTCACCAAAATTGCAGATGCAGCTAATTAACCTCCTGAGCAAGGAATTGGTTGATTGCAGGTGTAGTTAGTGAAACAGAAAAAAAGAAAGGATGGTGAAGTTTTGTTGAAAGTTTAATCTCAAATTTATGAGTTTTCCAACTACATTGCAATATAATTACAAGTATCAACAATTAAGCTGGCTAACATTTGGTTTTCATGGCAACTGTCTATTTTGTAATGGTAAAGGAAAAATGCTGGTAAGAAAAACCTGAAGTTTTTCATGTACTTTCTTTATTTAAAATAATTAAAATGTTTCTCTATACCTAATTCTAACAAAAGTTGATAAGAAGATAAAATATGATGTCTGGGTCAGTGTGTAGACCACCATTGTGAAGAATGCAGACCCAATAGACAAAACATATTTCTCCCTCATCCCAATCTTCCATACTTAATTATTTACATTTTTTAATGGAAATAACAATATAGGGCATACCAGAAAGAACATAGGTGTCTAAATTATCATCTATCCCCTTTCCTTCTAGGAATTCAAAAATAAAATGATTTAAAAATTGATTTTAAGCAAACATAGAAACAAGATTAATTCAGGGTTTTTAAGTAAGAGTAAAGTCTACTAAAAACATGTAAAATAGGGGGAAAAACTGAACTGGAGGAAGTAAGGTGAATTGGTGGCAGCTCTCAGGAAAGCAAGACACACTTCCTGAAGTTGAAGGCATAATCATGAAGTGTAAATATGAATCTCTGTGGAAAACAACAGTGGTGGTGCCCTGGCCAGCATGCTCAGTAGTTAAAGGGCCAGCCCATGCCCTGAAGGGTCTCAGGTTTGATTCCTAGTCAAGGGCATGTACCTGCGTCTCAGGGTCTCAGGTCCAATCCCTGGCCCTGGTTTGGGGGCATGCAGAGGCAACCAAATGATGTACCTCTCTCACATCGAGGTCTCTCTCTCTCTCTCTCTCTCTCTCTCTCTCTCTCTTTCTCTCTCTCTCTCCTATTCTCTCTTCTGTCTCTCTCCCCCTCCCACCCTTCTTTCCACAACAAAAATACAGTGGGGCCTTGACTTACGAGTGTCCCGACTAACGAGTTTTTTGAGATACCAGCTGTCTCTCAGCCGATTTTTTGCATTGAGTTGATAGAGTAATTTGAGTTAACAAGCTCCTTAACGGTCTCAGAACGAATTAAACTCGTAAGTCAAGGCCCCACTGTAATAATAATAGTGGTGGAAATTGAGGTGGAGTGGGCAAGCAGGAAAAGCTCTTCAGGGCCCAAAATAATAGGATAAGAGGATGGAAAGCTACACAAAGTGTAATGACTTTTCATTGTAAGGTGTTTCTTTCACAACCAAATGAAAGAATCTTTCTTGTGTCTACTTTCCATACAATCCATGGAATTCTTCTGCAAAGGTCTAGTCTAGGAGAAGACAACTTATTAAATGAAGGGTAATGGGAAAAAGGAGCAAATGCCAGAAACAACAACAACAGTAAGTATAGAAGATGCCCAAAGGAGGTTCAATATAAGCAGGTGTTTGGTACCCAGATAAAAAAAACTATATATTATATAATTTAATGATAGTATATTTAAAGTACAGAAGTATATGTGAAGATTCAACTCATGATACCTTTCAGGAAAAATAAAATAAAACTTAAAAACTATTTTATTAGGTCATGTGTGGGAAAAAGTTGACCTGCAATGGTCAACATCGAGACACATCATCCTATATAACAAAAGGCTAATATGCAAATTGTCCCCTTGACCAGGAGTTAGCCCAGGAGTTCAACCAAGAGTTTGACCAGGGGGCGGGGCTGACAGCCAACCGCCCATGGCCCTTTCCCTTGGCTGGCCCCACCCCCAATCACCCCCTCACCCTGATCGGGGGTGGGGCCGGCCTGCCAACCACCCGCACCCCCCCCCACCGCCCCGGCTGGCCTGGCCAGATCAACCCTGATTGGGGCGGGCTGGCTGGACCCCACCAGTGCACAAATTCATGCACTGGGCCTCTAGTAATAAAATAAAGAAATTTAAAGGTAGAATTTCTTTAAAGAGGAGGTTATGGCTAGCCTCATTTTCCTATAGCAAAATCCAACCAATGAAAATGAGGAAGCAATATCTGTGATACTTAAAGAGAAAGAGCATGTACCAAGATTTTATATCTAGCCAGAATAAAGACTACTGAAAACAGTTTTGACAATGCACGAATCCAAACTAAATCACATTGAGATACCACTTTCACTTTTTATACTGGCAAAAATCCTAAAGTGTATCACCATACTCCTAAACTAGGAGATAACTTTTATACACTGAATGTAGGAGGATAAATTCATGTAATTTCTGTGGAAGTTACTTTAGAAAAATTAATAAAGGCTGCAAATACATATCTACCTTAATCAAACAATTCTAATTCTAGGAATACATTCTATAAATATACCTCTATGAAAATTATGCATGAAATGATTATTTACTGAACCTTATTTGTTATAACAAATGATGAGAAAAATCATCTGGCTGGTGTGCCTCAATGGTTGAGAGTCGGCCCATGAACCATGAGGTCATGGTTTGATTCCTGGTCAAAGCACATGCCTGGGTTGTGGGCTCTATCCCCAGTAGGGGGCATGCAGGAGGCAGCCAATTGATGTTTCTCTCTCATATCTCTCATTGAGGTTTCTATCTCTCTATCCCTCTTCCTTCCTCTCTCTAAAATTAATAAAAAGGTATATTTACAAAATGATGAGAAATACAACATGTTTATCAAAATAGAACTACATGAACAAATTGTGGTTCATCTACAGAATGGAATACTATATAGCTATGAAAAATGAATGGGGGCACTCTCCATGTACTAATATAGAAGGGTTGATAAGATGTATTCAGTGGGAAAAAGGCAAAGTACAGAATAGTATCAATATTATTTAATATTTTGCATAAAAGTATAGACTTTTGTATTAATATTTGCTGCATAAATATAAAGAAGCTTAATAATAACCGTTACTATACTTTTAGGGGAAGTAGCAAGGAAATGGGCAGATATAGAATAGAGATGAGAGGGATACTTTTTACTCTATACTTTTGACACCATATATTTTTTTTATTTATTAACTTTTTGAATAAATTACCTATTCAAAAAAGTACAGACATGTATACAAGAGTTGCCACAAAATTAAAAGTGATGAGTACTGTTGTATTTTTTTCTAAGATCAATCAATATTGTTCAATTAATAGATCAATCATTATAGAAGTGTTCATCTATTTTTCTAGGACCATTTCTTGGTAAAGCAAGAGAGAACACATTAAATATGTACACAATTTTAATTTTATGTCAACTTTTGTAAGAGTTTGATAAGATGTTTTCTTTTGAGGTATTTCCTATTTGGATTTTCTGAATAACACCTTATTGTTTTACTTCAGATTATATTTGTAAGATACCTTAGCAGATTGTGGACGTCATACGGGCAGTTTTGCCTGTGGTGTTCATTGCACTTTTCTCAGCCTGGAAGAGTATCTTACTCATAATGAGGGTTCAACATACATTTGATAAAAGAGTGAGTTCATGTGGGAGTAAATGAAAAAGGACTCTTTAAAAAAATGTTTTTATTGATTTCAGAGAGGAAGGGAGAGAGAGAGAGAGAGAGAGAGAGAAAGATCAATGATGAGAGAGAATCATTGAGCGGCTGCCTACTGCACACCCCAGACTGGGGATGGAGCCTCCAACCTGGGCATGTGCCCTGACCAGGAATCAAACCATGACCTCCTTGTTCATTCTAATAGGTCAATGTTCAAACACTGAGCCATGCCTGCCCAGCACAAGGACTCTTAATGTCCTGTGAAACAAGGCTTTTAGGCAACTGCTTGTTTTTCTTTACGCCAATCTCCTACCCATTCTGCTAACAGCTTTGCTCCTAGGGCTGTATTCTCATCCATGGGTTGTACTTCCTTACCTGTGATAGGCAGTATCCCACTGAAAATCCCTTTATATATGGCAATAGTTATTCTGATAATTTAGGGCATTCTAATATGATAATGGGGTAGGCATAGAAGGGCATACCTATGGCACTTACATTTTAGTTTAATTTAGTTTTGTTTTTAAGTTATTACTGTATAGGAGGATTTCAGACCAAGCAGGAACAGAATTTAATACACAGCAGATGTAATTTGGGGATGAATGTCAAATCAAACTTCTTATGTGGCCACTGTTTTGTTTTGTTTTCTTGGTACGTGATTGGCCTTGCTCAGTGTAAACCTCTATGTGATGGCATTCTGCAGGTAAGTCTAGGATATCTTCCACCGAAGTCTTTTCTTTTCCCCACTGGTATCCTGTGACTTTCTTTTGGTTTTCCTTTTTTTAATTTCAGAAAAATGAGTTTTGTCGATTTTATAAATTTTTGAACATATATATTCTTAAATGTTATGTATGAATTTTGATTTTATTTAGGCTAATTTGGCTTCAGAGAAATTTTATATAGGAATGTCATAGAGCCATGAAAAATTGGCTCATACAGAAAAAATGTAACGCAATTATGCATGTCTTCCCAGTAAAACTAATTTTTATTTGTATGCTTTGAATGTATGTCAAGGAATACATCAAGGGAAAGGCTATATTCTGTAGCTTATTCTTCACTTAGTTGCTTGAAATTTGCAGCCAATTAACAAGATAAAAAGCAAAATAACCCTATAGTTCTTAATTTGCTTTGTAATGTAAACTCAAGAAACAGAAAAGCACTGATGTCACCAGCATATAGCTCACAGAAACACTAATAAAGAGGTACTTTATTGTAACCAGACCGTGGAAATGCTCTTAAAATTGAATTTGTAAAAGAAAGGAAGTAAGTTATTAGATTTAGAAATGTTACAATAAAATCATATGTTATATATTTTAATGTATCCTTAGTGTTCTCATTAGATTACATAGCATATGTCTTCAAAAAACATTTTTGTAGTTTGAAATCTCTGCATATAATGTCTTAAGGTTGTCAACGGTTTGAAAACAATAGAGACAGTCCTTCTAAAAAAGGATGGTATGTTTTTGGAAGCAGAGAAACTATCATCCTGAATGAAATGCCCAGACAACAACAGCTAAACCCTATAAAGAGAAGAATTCCTTGTTCCTAAGGGTGTGATGCCAGCTAGTCAGCTGGTCTGAGGCCTGGCTGAAGGTATGAAGCAGAAGAATTGTGGTCAAGGCTCTAGGCCAAGTTTTTCAAAGAGAAAAGGAAACAAAGAGATAGTGCTAGACTTTATAATCAGGCCAGCAGTACAGTACATCCCACTGTCTCCAGCAGCTCATTTTTTTCTTTTCCTAACTCCCACCCAAAAACTAAGAAAGAAAGTGAGAACCTCTTAAAAAAAAAACCCTCCCGCAGCATATCATTGGCAACTCTTTGGAATATGCTTTTATCAGCCAGGAAGGCAGATAACAGGAAGCTGAAGAAACAAAAAGAAAAAGGAAGGAGATGGCTTTGGGAGGCTTGGGGGAATATAGTAAATGTATTACTTTATGTTATTTAAGCAGTGAGCCAAAGGACAAAAAAGTTCCTGTAGCCTGCTGATATTCCTTGGTGTAAGAGATGGCAAATGCCTTAGGATATTTTATCAATCTGTATGGAAGAACATTTATATGACTCATCCTGTAATGTTCTGATGTGAGAAATGGGGACATATTAATAGCTGGGCAAAAGTGACCAGCAAAGCTTTGGACCTAGTGTAGAGTCACACATATTATTTTTACAAAAAAAAAAATTCATCCTCTCTGACTTTGTATTAAGTCAGAGAGGATGAAAATTGTTTTTAATAATCTAAGAGACAAATGACTATATAGGTAACCTCATGTGGAACTTACATACTTCCATTGATGTGTTCCAACCACTTTAAAAATATTTAATCTGTATGGATCACTATGACATAATTTTTTTCACACACACATAGATTTTAATGGTTTAAAAAAACAAATTTATTACTTTAGAAAAATGAATGCAGTGCACGTTCAAAAATATTATCGCCACAGACTCTGGTTGCTCAGTCCACACATAAGTAGTAGTTGCCTTCTATGATGATATGGCTTCTCTGCACTAATTCCCTTCAGGCCGAAAAAACATTAGAGCAGGTTCAGTAAAGACTGAATTGTTGCACAAAGGAACATTTACTCATCAGATCCCACTGATCTCTTCTGTGCCCGCTTCCTGGGCAACCTTCTTGGTGAAGCTTTATTGATCTGATTCAAAGTTTCCTGAGGAATCCAACTCATGTCAACATCATTCTGACTTGTTGTACCCATCTCTACTTTCTGTACAGGTCTCTTGCGCTTTCTAGATTCCAGGAGTTGATGAAGGCCAACAACAACCAAGAGCCCAAGACCAGCAAGGAACATATACATAAAGATTGTTTCTCCATCTAAGCCATCCTCTCTTTCAATAATTGTAACTGTTTGATTGAAGACAGCATCTTGAAATACATTGCCATTCAAATCTTTGTAGTTCAGATTGATGACTAGTCCGCAGGGTCGTCCACCCATAGGCTCCGCAGGAATGAAGGAGTACTCAAAAGTTGCCTGTCTCTGGGGTGGGACTACAGTGTTCAGAGGAAGAGCTGTGAAATTCTGGATATAAAACTGGTAGTCCTGCGGGTAACGGAATGAGGCATCTAGGGATTCAACAATAAAATCTTCTGTGCCCTTGTTTGTAAAGCCTGTTGGGGTCCAACCCCAACGGGTCCAGGGATCCCCAAAGGTGTGGACGGAGTCGTCGAAGAATGAATGACATGGAAACTGGGTTCAGTTCATCAGCATAGCGAGGTTCTCCCTTCAGGATCTCCAGCGAAGTTCTGGTTAGGAACTCCAGCCAAGTTCTGGTGCCATGTTCTCTCGCTAGATTCTCCAGGCAGGTTCTCCAGGTTCTCCAGCCAGGTTCAGTCACCAGGTTCTCTTGCCATGTTCTGTCTAGGTTCTCCAGTGAAGTTCTGTAGCCAGGTTCTGTCCAGGATCTTTTGCCATGTTCTCTGGCTAGGTTCTGGTTAGGATCTGACAAGGATCTGATGAGGAGCTGATGAGGAGCTGATGAGGAGCTGATGAGGACCTGATGAGGATCTGATGTTTATTGTCTTGTTACATCCGTATTTATACCAGCCGATTTTAATCCTGTCAATTTCTATTACAAAGGTTAGGGCATTTCTTATCTCCATTCCAGGGAGTAAAGATTATGTAGCTTAACTACCCGCTTGGCACTTAATTAAGGGGTTGTATCCCCTCCCTAACCTCAGGGAAAAATCCCCACCTGGGAAACAACCTTTCTCGGAGAGGTGACCTTGGTTAAAACACATGGCGCTAAAGAGAGCAAACATATTAAGAACAATATGCTATATACGCCAGGTCCCTTGAAACATATGCTGTGCAGATGTTTCTTTCCTGCAGCGACTGTGTCAAGCAGCAAGGATGGACCGGCTCCCGGCAAAAGCCTACCAGGAATTTCACAATGTTATTTGCTGGAAAATCTTCTCCTTTCACAAATAGGATAGTTGTATCTGCACTTGGTGAAGCTTCAGGTTCACCGGATACATCTTCTTCCTCTTTATCTTCTGCCAAATCTGTTGGTTCATCTTCTTCCACTTCTGCTTCATCATCTTCATCTTCAATTATTGAATCTTCCACTGTTTCTTCATCTTCTGTAAGATCTTGAGCTTCTGCTACTGAGCCTCCAGGGCTGCCTCGGAGCAAGAGGGTGGCGGGGAACACAAGCAAGAGAAGCAGAAGCAGGCAAGGGAGGAGCCTCATGGCACGGTCCGTCCAGTGCCCTGTCGCTGTCCGCGAGAGCTCTCGGGGGCCCACTATGACATAAAATTGTTCTTACGGAAAAATGTTGATTCACTCATTCACTCGTTTGTTTATTCAACATTTATGCAAAAATTTATTTATACAACTAAATTGTTTCATATATTCCAGGCACTAAAACTTGTCCAGTAAGACATATAAATTTCTTTTAAATACTATTTAGTGGTATAAGTTAATTTTAAAATAAGTGTAGAAATTCATTTACATAAGTTAAATGTAATAATATTGTAATTTATTCAGTAAAGGTTTAGTCTCATGTCAATGTGTCTTTACCTCTATTTAATTTTCTTAATTAGGTCCAAACATTGAACCCTTAAATTTTTATTATATGTTTAGTATACTATGTATACATTGAATTTTCACTTTTTCTTACATAAAGAGTAGTATGAAGACATCACAAAAGATGTGAGGAAAGGTCATGTTCTGATGTGAAATTTTAATAATATAATATTAGGTTTTTCTTTTCTTTTTTTTTTAATTGCTGTTAATCCTCACCCAAGGATATTTTTTCATTGATTTTTAGGGAGAGTGGGAGAGAGAGGGAAAGACAGAGAGAAACATTGATGTGAAAGAACCACATCAATTGGTTGCGTACTGCATGAGGCCCAACTAGAGCCTAGGCCAGGGAGGAGCCTGCAACCAAGGTATGTGTCCTTGACCAGAATCGAACCTAGGACCCTTCAGTCCACAGGCGGATGCTCAGGCCCGAGGCACCTCACCATTGCACGAATCCATGCTCGGGGCTTCTAGTTGTTCTACAAAATCTCCTAACAGCAGCCACCTTGGCCCTTGCAGCCCTGGTCCAGAAGGTCGTCCAGAAGGATGTCCGGAAAGTCGTTCTGCTGTCTGGTCTAATTAGCATATTATGCTTTTATTATTATTGTAGATTCTTTGTTCAAATGTATTTCCTCACTAGATATTTTCCACAAAGAAAGCACAATTTCTTGTCTTCTCAATACTACTATCTTCTCAATGTTTTTAATACAACCCACCCATGAACAGTAAAATTTTTTCAGATGCATGGTTATAGTGTAAACACAAAATTATGAGTCACAATTACTATAGTATTAATTTTACTTTTATAAGTATATTTAAATTCTGGTTTATTATGTATTTAAATTAAAAGCTTATTAGAATAAATAAATATAATTAGATACGCAAAAGCATATTTCCAGTAATAGAGATCTCTAAACATCTTTTATTTAATCTAGATAAATTCCAACTGAAAAGTAAGTTTAGTCTTACTTTAGACTTTAACATGGAAATTAAATGGACTTCAGTTTAGTGTACATTTCAACAGAAACATTAAGAAAAGTATTTGCTTAGTTTGTAGATTTTCTTAACTTAAAGCAGATGAAGACAAAACAGAAATAAACAGTGATTAAATTACATAGAAATTTCAAGATGAAATAAAACAATTCTGTACTGCTTCAAGGTAATGGCAAAAGTGTTTCTGGCAAGAGAAGCATAATTAACAGCAGTGCTAAAGCTGAGCTTTACATTCTTTTGGCAATTGAGTCTACTAAGTCGTAAGCTGTGAAGTAGGGTATTTGCGTTTCATATTAATTTGCATTTCACTGCACTGCTTTTTGCTATTTTGTAAGCATGAAACAGGGAGGTCTGGGTCCAACATAACAAATTACTGAACAAAAATAAAAAATTGCTCTCCAAGCAGCTTTGTGTTTCTACTGGGTCTGTCATGCTGTGAGTAAAAAAGAGAAAAGGAAAAAAAAAAAAACAACAGAAAGAAAAGAAAAAGAAGTGTTGATTCTTCAGAGGCATCTCAGTACCAGATCCGCACTATCAAAAATAGTCCTCGAACATAGAGTTATCTAGAAATTCAGCAGTTTGCAAACATGTGCACTGGGGAGTTGTTTTTTCACACTAAAATATTTTTGCTACACATCAGCAAGTCCTTGAGGACAGCCTGCTGGCTCCAAGGGCCTGCAGTTGGCTGTCGAAATAGCAGAGCAATACTATTTAGCCAGTGCTAACAGGGAAGCCATGATGGGTCTGCTCTTGAACGTGATTACTACATGTGACCAAAAATTGTTGAACCCCCGGGATCAAAAAGCATGAGTTCATTTTAATACTTAGTGCTTGACCTTTGATGCCTATTCTTCTTCTTTAGAAGTGCTAATATACATATCACCTGTTTTTCCCCATAGGTGTTGATCACAAAATATGGAATGAAAGACAACTGATTTCCCAAAACAACACATCCACTGTGTGTGTGTTTGTGCTTGTATATACATGTGTGGGCAGGTGTGTGTGTTGATCATCCATTTTGTGTTTTGGTTAGCAGTTGGCAATGATATAATGATAAACAGAAAGTCTCTTGCCGTAAGAGAGGGTATTCTTTAATAATTTTCTTAAAGTCATTAGAAAATTTCAGCTTCCTTTTTCCTATGTCAGCTTCCCCTCTCTAGGTTCTAAAGGAACCTAGAGAGCAGAAATTATTAATGTGGGCTTTAATAATTATATCTTGATCTAATTAATCCCTATGCCCATGAGGTAATCCAAAATATTTTAAGGTTCTTTGACCTCTGACCTGCTTGTTTTAATGTACTTATATTTTTTTCACCAAAAGCCTGCAAGAGATCAGGTATGTAAAAAATACAACTTTAATAAGCAAGGGGATAGCAGCTCTTTATTGAAGGAGCTTGTGTATTGGCAGCAATCCAGACAGCAAATAAAGTTGTTTAAATATTTGCTCATTAGTGAAATGAAATGGTATCCATTTAATTCATTCCCATTTCATGTTTCCTGTGTTTCAAAGCAACTTTTAATACACACACTCTAAAGGTTTCTCTGGAGCTCTGGTGTTATAATTTGCTGCCTTTTTTTCTGTGACTAGATATAAATTAATGAAGTCATACTGAATGAGGTGTTGGGCTTCCCCGAAAACCCTCGCGACTCATTTGTTTGAGAGTTTGGCTGTAAATTGCAATGACTGCAAAATCACAAGATGTGCACCATTAGCAGGACCCAGGGGCTGAGGTATGATAATGAAGGTGACTGGGTATCAGATCAGATAGCTGATGCATTCCAGGACTATTTAGGGCAACTAAGAGCTTGTCACAGTAGGAGAAGTTGCTGGGTGGCACTAGGTTTATCTTGAGACAGTCAGACAGGGAGATAAAATGCACATTAATCCCTAAGGATAAGCAGTCGTTGCTGTAGTATTGGATAAGCATCTGTTTTGTCAAATTTAGCCTAACTGTGGGCAAATGGCAAAACATCAGTGGTAAGTGATTGGAGGGGGTTAGGGTCAGAGTTGGGGATGCAAGAAGAGTAATAGATGTGTCCAGCTCACTCTGGTTATACATCCCAGTGCTGTCTTCTCATCCACATTTACTGAGAACTCTGCATTTTGGGTGGTGACAAAGTCAGTATTTTCATTCTCTTCTGATTTTCTTTATGCCTGATTTCTGCCCTAGGGAACCTAGAGAGCAGGAGGGTGAGGCATTACCATCTCTAAACTCCAACAGGCATCCGTACCCTTCAGACTGAGTTCCTTGAGGTTAAGGATATTGTGTTATTTCATCCCTTTCCTCTTCAGTGTCCAGCACCATATTAGGAAAAATTAGGTATTGCATACATATTTGTTAAATGAGTCTCTTCTGACTAATGACAATAGTTATCCTTTATTATTTTTATTCTTTCTAAAAAGGAACATTGCTAAAATCAGAGCATAAGCCTTTAGATAAAGCAGAGCACAGGAGTTTTTCTTTAATTAAGCACATGCTGGCCCCCAATCCCATGTATTACTTGCTTTTACTTAATGTGTCTGAAAAAGCTAAACAAATATACTTGTTACAATACAAGAACAACATTAGCCTGGGGGGTATCGTCAGAGGTCACTGTTTCTACCAGAAAAAAAGGCAAGATTTGGAACAGAAACCCAAAGAATTATTCATTTATTTTGAATACTACTCTTAACAGTTCTGCTTAGAGAAAAGGTTAGCTGACCTCTTACTTTTCCTTTCAATTATGCTTGCTTAATGATAAATTTAGAGCCAAGGGGATTTTTGAAATTCTGGCTAAATTCCCATGCAAACAATGCATTTTTTTAAAAATGTGTTGAAGTGACTCTTTGGAAGTTGCACCCACTTTTGCAAGATTAATTCTGTAAATACACAGTTGATAAATTGCTGTATCAAGGTCTCAGACACTAGATATGGGGCACACGTTTTCAGGGATTTAGATCTAGTTCAACATTTATGTTTGCATCTCAACAATATTGTATTTTTCATGAAGTCTTCTGCATACTTCTCAGCCTCCATTTCCAAGGCAAATAGAAGGACAATTTTAGAAGGGAATATCTAAGTATTTTTTCCACTCCTGATTTCAGACCATTTATAGGCCATGGAGGCTTTTCTCTCGCTGCCTGGGGGAGTTTGTTTCCTAGCTGAGTTTCTAGCCAGTCCATTTTCCTGTGAATTCTACATTGCTCACTGTGGTGTGGTCTCCAAGGTGGAGCCCAAGGAAACTCATCTCCTGATATTCGCTCGCTTGTGCAGTCTCACAAATTATATCAGGATTGTTTTGTGTAACCAATAGAATGTGGATGAGGCTGAAGAATTTACGACTTCTAACTTCTTCTCTTGAATTGCTCACTCACTGAGTTTAACTGGCTAGAGTGTCACTATATATATATTTGTAATAGTTCCATTAATATTCCACATTCTGTTCATCTATTTCTCTAATGATGGGCATTTAGTATTTTCAACTTTTATTACTACTATGCTATGACTATCACCCTCTCTCAGCTCAGCCATCTGCTGTGATTTCTACCACTCAATGGTTGTCATCCTGCTTCTGGATCCTGCTCTCCAATGCCTGGCTGGTCACTCTCCCCGTACCTCTTACCGGACCTCTCTTGTGGGTCTGCCTCACCATGGCAAATGCTCTCAGCACTCACTTCCTGAGCAGGGGCTTGGACAGTTACCAATTCTGTATCCTGAAACGGAAGCTTCCCCACATC